TCACAGACTAACTAGTAGATTCTACAAGAATAATGACTTGAATACACTTGCCTATTGCGTATAGATGAACTGACAGCCTGAAAACGCGTGACAAATTTTGATTTGTCATTGCCTGCGTTAGCTAGTGATGTACATTTTACTTACAAGGACTATCGAAAAATGATTATTAAGAAAGCGGTAAAAAGATTAAAAAAAATAGCTTAAGGCACGAAACTGAATAACATCTAAACTGAAGTTTTAACATGATATTCTAAAATAATTAAAAAATATTCATATAACATGATCCCGAGAATAAGTAGCACCTACCTGCGTTTTATTGGATTTGAATTCAAAATGTACAAAATCCCAATAATTTCTGAAGTGGTGAGTCTACCGAATAAACTTAAACAATTTGCCCCAAGAATCGATAAACATGGATATAATAAAATAAAATAAAAATAAATAAATAAAAACGGGATGACGGAGTACATAATGCCTGCTTTATGTTTCATATTTTAAGTATTACTTTTAATAATTACAAACATTTAATAATTAATAGTTAAATACATCACATTTATTTTAACATTCGACTTAAATATGAATGTAAGCTTAATAATTTAAGTAAGGAAACTTGTAGGAATCATTTAAATAAGATTGCTCTGTTTCAAAGCCAATATGTTTATGAGGCTCCTATCTCTTTCATCTGTCCCTGAAAAATATAAAGTAGTAATAAACTTATTATCGATTTAGCTGCATGAATTTAAAAACATAATGATCTTAAAAGAGACTAGCTAAATACGCAAGAGATATTAAGGTGCACAAAATGTCTGAGGATACATGTGCACTCCCTATTTTCTCAATCTCAGTATGTTATGAAAACGGTCACCCACCCATGGACTAACCGCGGCAACTGCAGCTTAATCTCGCAGATCTATTGATCCCCGCAGCTATTCATAGCTCTTCTCTGTGAATAACGCTGCAGGCGATGAACCAGGCTATTAAGCCCTCGGCACATTATCATCGGCCATCAAGCATAAAACGGGCATCGAGCGTTGTGAGTATCAAATACTATGGAATTTTACTATCCTGGTACACTGAACCGCCCGCGCGGGCGCGGCGCTAGCGGCAATTCAGGAACAGGAACATTACTAAATATGTATACCTGACTACGCTAAGTTTTATCATTGTGACTTGGGAATATAATCCGAAACTCCGCTCAACCCCATGGGGAAAATAGCCTGATGCTATGAATATTGCACTAGTGTGATCTTGAGGTGCTGGTGGTTAAGTAAGGTTATAATTTTTTTTCGGTTGATAAATTGATATTTAGTTGGGTTCATAATGGCTTGAATAAGATAATCTCAATATTTTTTATCTTGAATGTAAACAGTTTTGTAATATGTAAAAATCTCTATTTTTATCTAAAGTTTTTGAAGTTAAGTTTTTGAAGTCTTATTATAACAATATTATACTTACTGGTACAAATAATCTAGAAATAGCTCCTTTTAATAAATTTGTTTTTATTCTACATTTTCTTTTATACTTCTCAAGAAAATGTTTGCTACAAATTGTAAAGTTCTTCTTTGGATTCCAACCAACCAGCCCAATTAACCTTAACCATTTTTGTTCTTATTATAGAATCCGGAGGGAATTTGTTTAACAAATAGCAAAATAAAATTACATTTTTCGAATGCAAACCGAGCATTTATTTTCATTCCTCTTCTAATTGTGTGAGCAAGTCTAATGATTCATTATAAACATTCAAGATAAATATCGACATTAATTTTGATATAGTTGAGTCCATAGACTAATTAGCCTAATAATTTTATGGTTGAGTCAATCCCTAGCGTACATGTAAAATATTTTGTTTAAGGTGGAAACTCCAGGGTGGCCCACGAAATTCAAATTTTCTTGCATTTTTTGGAATTTGCAGGTCAGGGTTAGGTTGTATATTTAACAAAATATGATTCGCGACCGTAGCGATTATGTGTTTACAGAATTATTATCATTAAAATCACCAATACAACCCTGTAAGTTCATATTAGCCCTTTGAATGAGTTTTTCCAGAAAAACTAAGAAGGCCTAAGAATGACTTTTTCTGGAAATAGCCATACAATAGGATTATACAAACTTAGGGGGTTGTATTGATGATTATAATGATTATAATTCTGTAAATACATACTCGTCACGGTCGCGAATCATATTTTATCAAACACACAGCCTGACACTGACCTACAAATTGCAAAAAACGTAAGAAAATTTGAATTTCGCGAGCCACCCTGGAGCATTCACCTTAAGGTAGTAAATTCATGCAAATTATCAAAAACGTGACTTTAGTTGTTGCAAAATATCAAATTTAACAAAATAATTGATAATATTTTATATTTTAAACAGTATATAACATACATTTTAACCAAAAGTAGACGCGTCTTATTATTGATGACGACTTGAGAATTTACCTGTGTAAATGTGCAATTATCAGGATTATTTCTTTTATTAACACCACGGTAGTCACTCACAGATCAAGTAGCCATTTTGCAAAATAATTACTTAATAATAATAATAGTACAATTAATACTCTAAAAAATTACAAAATAACTAGGGGCTTATTTCTTGCGTGCCGACTTGTGCCGACCTGTCATCCAAAATCGGTTAAAATACAAAGTCATGAGATTTGCTAACATTTTCCATTTTACTATATTACCATATGGAATTTTTTTCTCACTTGCACACTATGTCCGTCAAGCCTGGCCTTTTACTATGAGATATAATATATATTGTATCCAGAAATATAAATTATATCCCGCGATTGGCTTTCACACTGTGAGATATATCAATTAACCAGTGTGCATTCGTCATTGGAAATATAATATGAAAATATCACTCGGTTGACCGAAAAAATATTTATAGTTTGGGATGTAATATACATTATAGCTCAGTGTAAACGGTTCCATTTAAAAGTATGGTGAGCGATATTAATTTATATATAATGTTTTATATATTATATAATATACCATAGTGAAAAGCGGGCTAAAGTCCATGATGAACTGAACACGCGAACAAGTTAATAATAATAATAACCCGTGAACTATCAGCCTTTGTAGTAGAGTACTACCGAATTTGATCGGGTTGAATTAGAACCAATAAAACCAAATGACAGTTCACTTGCGATATGCCAAAACAAAAAGAAAACAAAGTATGAATTAAATAATTCATCTAAATTTCACCCTATAATCCTTTTTAATGTCATAAGATAATACGGAAGTATAGTTACACATTTTTTATTTTAGTTTTAGTCTTACCACAGAATAAATAATAATTAATTAGTACTCTGCTCTGTGGATATATAGTAATCTATGCTCTGTGGTCTTACTTCTATGCTATTATTTGTCTATGCCAGTATATTCTAAGTCTATGGTCTATGAGACGCTTATGTAATAATGTTGCAATATTCAGAAATTTTACCCCAAAATTAAAATAAGACACTTTTTAACCAAACTACAATATTCAATAAATTTCTTTTTGTTTAAGTTAATAGTTCAAAATTTAAGTCAAAGAATTATGAAAAATGTTAACTCAAACGGATAACATAATGTTAAATAACATTTTATGAAATAAGTTGCGTAATATTTGGATTATTTTTATTTACAAGTTAATTTAATTTTTCTTTTTTCAATTTAGTTAAACTTTTAATTTTGTAAAATATATAATCCTATTGATTAAAAGCGAATAACATGGTTATCAATTATCGGAAAGTAAATATAAAAATATTAAGGCTATACTCATTTAACTTTAGTACCTTCTTAAAGACGAATAGTTTGTAACCTGCAAATATATTTTAACAAAATCCGAGCAATATTAATGTGGGGTCATTGAATTCACTTTCACTTTCGAAAAAGTGATCTTCATCGTAATTACCACCATAGTTGCGTGCTTGCAACAAAATATATGTACTAATTCTAATCACAGTACTCACCCATGGACTGGGAAACATGCATCTATAAACATTTGCAGCATTTTTGCCGTCTAGCCTGGTTTTAAAGATATTTTTTTTTCTTTTTTGCTGTTACCTATTTATTATTATTGATTTTCATATAATCATAAGGCTACATTAATAATCGTTTTATAAACCATGATTTATAAATGATGCACTTGCAGATAAGGACGATTTTTTTTATAGTTGAGATACAATACAATTGTTTCTTTTGAATTTTACATCAAATAAGTTTTTTGTTCTACATATTTTTTTGGTATAAATGTGGTTGTTATAAAATAATTTGCTTGATTCCGCGTAAAGAAAGAAAATGATGTGTCCTGCCCAGTTTTAAGGGGATTGAGGGAGGGTGGGAAGTCCCCTTAAAACTGGGCAGGATACATCATTTTCTTTCTTATATTATAATGGATATCCGCAAAGTAACGCCTGATTCTATCAATTATGGTATATATGTGTTAAAAATTAAGCGTTTGTCTATATTACCAATATGTCAATAATCAATTATTTCATCATCATTTATTTCGTAAACTTATTTTAATAAATTATCTTATATCTATTTTATAGAATTATTATTTTATATGGAAACAATATACGATATTATGATATTATTACTAATGCTTTTATCATGAAGTTTTAGGGTAAAACTATTTTATGTAGCAACACTTGTAACAGGTTTTTAATCGGCCTGTCGGACAGCTTTGTGCGAACCGTTGGTCGGTGGAGACGCGTGCGTGTAACTGTTGCTGTTTGTTCGCGCGAAAGTTTACTTTGTGTTACTCAAAATGACACTAAACAGTTACCTAAAGTGTAGTTAATGTGATTTAACCTAGAAATTACTTGTCTTTGCATTTGGTTTAAGTAATTTTGGTCAAAGTGCAATCACTTTTTATAATTTTGTCGCGTGTGTAACGGTTAAGTTGAAGATAACTAGTTCCAAAGTAAATAAAAACAAAAAATGTGTTTGAAGATGGGCGCTTAGGATTTGTTCTTTGGTAAAAAGTGACTAGAAAGTTTCTGCAGCTTCGACATGGGGCTCAAGCGGTTGCTTTCACCAGTTACTTTGCTGCTGTTTTGTACAGGTAAGCGGGCTAAGTTACCTACATACTGAGTCACCTCGCGCTCTCGAGCCATTCCAGTGCCGTATTCACTAGGTACTCAAGTACCTACTCAACTCGTTCTTTGGACAGCATTGTTTGCTAATGTTAAAGTAAATACCTTTGTGTGCTTTTGGTTAATTTTTATCTTTTAAAAAATAGATTACGGCAGATAATAAATTTCATGATTAATCTGCATTTATTGAAATGTGTATTACAATTTGGAAAAAGAAGAATATAGTCTTAGCTCTCTTCTCTAGTTTTGATTGAAATTTAAAGCCAGCACAATTACAGTCTGGTAGGCTTTCCATCTGAGTGTTTGGAGTTGACAACTAACAACTCATTTGTACCCAGCCTCCTTTGTTCCAGCAGTTGTTTCTCGGTTGTTTTTCAGTTTTGTTTACAGCTTTCACTAGGATCTATTGCTTTATGAAACTGTAGAGCTTAATGATCTGTTCTTTATAGTAATTACTATATGTAATAATATTGAGCATATCTTATAACCTTTTTGTGGATGTGAAAGGGACAATGTGCAAAACTTTTTTCTTTAAATATTAATTTCGCAGTGCTTTCTGCTGATTGATGAATGATGCTCTGACCTTCGAGTAGCATTACCAGTACGAGAATATCTGCTCTGTTCTAACTGCCTGTTATGGAAGCATGGGCAATCAAACAAGAAAATTAAAAAAAAAACGATGAATACACCCAAGCCTTATGACTCGTTTGTCATGGCTCAGAGTCCAAATTTTAATTAGTCAAAGTAAACATGTTCTGCATCTTATTTTTGTGATCTTATTTTTATAGATAGATACGGCTGACGAATGAGCACACAGTCTACTGTGACCCAGAAACCTATCTCTATCCTTCATTAAGTGTCAAAATGTAGATGCGTTATCACCCCTGTGGACTACGGTTCTCTACACTCATCATACGAAATAACCGTGAGCTGCTATTTTGTGAGCAAAGGCACTTTCCAGGTCTAGCCGACCCACTCGTGCTGCAATCATAATATAGCTGCAGCGTGGCACTATCACGTAAAATACAATCTTTCTCAAATACGGATTAGAACCTCAAAAAAGATCTTTACTACTCTAGATGAGGTGGGGTCTGGAAATCAATCTAGATGTGCAAGATTCTGTAGACTATTTTGATGACAGAAAGATTCTTCACGACACAGTTTCTCGATACTTTTTTTCTGTAGAAGCTTATGTTTTGAACAGATAGTAGATATTGGTGGGGACGAGTTTTTTACGTGGTAGAGCCATGCTGCAGCTATATTGTGGTTGCAGCACGAATGGGTCGGCTCGACCGGGGTAGGATCATGCTCTCACAGAATACCAACGTAAACTAGCAGCTTAGTGCTTAATGTTTCGTACGGTGAGTGTAGAGAACCGAAGACCCTTTTTACTGGAAACGAGGCATTCCATCTCATTCCTCGGGGGTGACAACACATCTGCATTTTGATTCTTAATTGAGTATAAATGTAGATATCTAAGGCCAAAGCATCCACTTACCGTCAGGTGGACTCGTGCGTCACCCTTATTCTATAAAAATGCTGCCATATACTAATTAAAAAAAACTGACTTATAATGAGGTGCAAATAAACATTATCATGTATTATATATAATGTATATGCCAGGAGTTCCCAAAGTGAAGGCGCCCTGGTGAGCCGCAGAGAGTAAAGATGAAATGGGCGCCGTGAGACGCTCTTCTTTACTGTTCTCCAGAAACTAAACTTATGTATTCGCGGTTACAAAATAAACCGGATTTTCAGCTGTAGTTGTAAAAAGCAAATATCGCTCAAAGATAAATGAGAGTAGCGGTGTCGAGCCTTATCCCATGCTTTGAAAAAATGTGTAGAGAGCACTAAGCTCACTCGTTACAATGTCTGAGTTGCCATTCTATTTTATTTCCTATTTTCTTAAATAAAAAAATGTGTTCTTGTGTCAATATAAATATAAAAACTCTGCCTCATATTGTGGATGTTCCTGTACAATAGTACAGGAACACCTACCTACCTACCTAGTATCATTGTATCCTTATTTAGACTAACTAGGGAACCGAGACAAAATACTAAACCTGTAAGTGCGCCGCGAACTGAAAAAGTTTGGGAACCCCTGATATTAATGGCCCCTGGCTAATGATAGTGATGATGTCCTGTTGGCCGCTTTTCGATTACAGCGATAATTTTTGACTATTTTCTGATGCTGAGTGTACCTACCACAAGTAAACGCGCAAACACAAAGGCACTCGTTCTAACCTACCTGTGCCGTATGTTACGCTTCCGCTTTAAGGTCGAAGGCAAATTAAAACATAGGTTACACCTTCAGTTTGGCGTCAGTTTCAGTCCGTGATCTTAATCACCGATATACTGACGCCAGTGATAAAGCACCACAAGACATAACACGGTTGTGGCAGGGTCGTTGAAGACAGTGACCATGTTATGACGGACGTCCAAGCGAAAAGACGATTTGCCGTCAGTCTAACCAGACTGATGGACTAAACTGAGCGTAAAACTCACGTCTAAGATGCAGTCAGGTACTTTTGTATGGTGAATGATGAAAACCGAAGACCTACTGATAACAATGCATTTCATCTTAGTCCTCTGCAACAAGTATTTGCCAGGCACTCTAACCGCTATGACGCGCGGTTAGCATTGACACATTGTGTATTCTGGTATATTGATTAGGTCTATTGAGTATTGGCGACGTAAGAAAATTTTCTATCCCATCAGTTCGTCGATAAAAGAAAATGTCAGCTAAATCTAAAAATATCAGAAACATTGGAAAATATCTCTTACACTCTCAAATGGCTCAACTGGTGATTAAATTGAAATGAAAGTGTTGTCTGAACGAAAAGTCAAAGTCATATTCATTGAAGTTACTGAAAAAATGCAATGCTATTAACTACTAATACCTATTCCCGAATTAAATCTTTTTTTTAAATTTAAGCATTTTGTTTGAGGAATAATAAACTTAATTGATTGAAAAGCTGATTTTGTTATTTCCTGGCGGATTACGAAACTATCCAACGACTGCGGTTCTCCTTGAACTCTCTCACGTTGTATTACACTGTAAACTACATGGCTGTTTTGTCATGGTTTAATTGGTATAAGTACACAATTTGAGGCTTGTACTGTGGTTTGCAGCATTTTTTTTCATTTGAATCTAAATCGACTTCATTTGTGCTTATTCCATGATTAATTTTGCTTGATAACCTAACTATTTTGATGCTAATTATTTCCAATTAGTTCGACTAATCTTTGATTAAAGCATAATTGCTTTCACCAGGATGAGCGTAACTCAGAAAACAATATTGAATTATGACATCTAATATTTAATCATAAGATAAACTTTACGCGAATGAGTCCATCATTTTAAAATTTTCTTAATAAATATTTTCCTATAGACTATTTGGTCGGTTTTTGGCCTAAAACAACTAAACAAATTTTCAAGAAACAAATTTGCATTCGTAATAATTAATATTCTTTTAGTAGTATGGTGTATTAGTCACAAATATTACTCACCAAATTATACTTAATTAACTGAATTCTATGATATAGGTACTTAAATTATTCATAATATACCTAATAATATGGATATCGTTTTATAATTTTATTCGTTTCATTAAACCATGATTAAATCAAATGAATTATGAAAAACGTATATATTAATGTATTCAACTTTACTTTCAAAAGTAAAGTTAAAACAGCATTCATATACGGATACGTCGAAAATCTATAGGCATCTGCCTATTGTCAGATTCTCAATTGAAAGAGAGGATTCTCAATTCTGAAAGGGTATTTTGAAGCGGCGACGACTCGATCGCGTGGTTTTTCACACGGCTTCCATACAATTTTATCTCCTCAGACCCGGAGCATATGGTATAACCATTAACCAAGATATAACAGTACTTGAAATCGTAATTAACACTTTCAAGTGTCGCCGGTATGAATCGAACTGTAGAACATGTATAAATTTGGTTCTCGTCGCGGGGTTTTATTTGTAATTATATCGACGTTTTACTTAAATTGGTAAAGATTCCGGTCGTGCATAGTGTTGCTGCCATATTATATGGGCTGTTACCGCAAAATGCCACCTTGCAGCTTTGGAGTCGATGGCAATGCGTGCTAAAAGATTTTAAGTTTATGTTCGAGTTATGTTATAAAACTTGGAATGAAATTTTTATTCTACAAATGTATAAAAATCACATTTCCCTATTTTGTCAAAGATTATTTTTACATCAGCTTTTCTTATAGCTCCACATTGCACGAAAACGTTGAACTCTTCGGTATACATGTATTACGAAAAATTAAATCTTTTTTATTCAAAGTTAGAAGAAATATTTATAATTTACGAAAATATAATATTTAAAAGTGCCAGTTTTCTTCTGACGACGCTAAGCTTATTGATCACCCGAATTTGTTTATGCCAACGGCTTATTTGACGGCTCCGCGGCGCAGTGGCTTAGCGATGAGTAGCAGCACTGGGGGCCGCGGGTTCGAATCCCGCATGGAACAAGTATTTGCATGGCCTACAAATAATTGTTCCGGGTCTGGATGTTTGTCCTTGTGCAATTTATGTTTGTAAACTGCCTTCACGATACAGGAGAAAATCATAGTGTGAGGGTAACGTATTTCTAAAAAAAGAGAAAACATCTTACTGGTCTTGTGCACAGGCGTAACCTAGCTGAGCTGTTCTACAGAATACATTCTACGGGATACATTTATATGATATATTTAATTCCTCCCTCGCTCTTCTACTATCGGACGACGGACTACTCGGTCAGTCTCCACATATTTGTTGTCGACAATACCATGCATTGGAAAGAAACGGTTTGGAAGTGGAATAATTTCATAGTCCCATTTCAGTTTTTCTCAGTCGCCTCTTACGACATCTACGGGATGGTATGGGGTAGTGGATATTCTTGCACCCAAACATCACTGGCTTTAATAGTAAAAAAAAAAACTTGTTATATTGGCCGTT